CCGTTTGAGGTAAAAAGCAGGTTATATTTTTTATATAAACTTGGTCTAGTGAGAATGGCTTCAGCTTTCTCATTTATGAAATAATGTCTTTCAAGGCTGTTTTAAGATAATGCATGTAAAAGTCATTGCAAATAATAACAAAAATGTTGCTCGTTTAAGTTATACCTGGTTTATTCTTGTACTCTATATCTTATAGTCCTTTTATGTGTTTGAGAGTAATCCCTCAATCTCCAGCTGTGACCACAGCTACTCAAGCCTCATTGATGACTTTCTGAAGAAGTTTCTAGAACAAAGGAGACATGGACATAAAGCTTAATCCAAAGATATGAACAAAAATGCAACAAATAACAAAGAAAAGTCTTTATTCTATAAAACACATCGTCCCTCCTCACCTAGGATTTCAATCCCTGACATCAAGATGAGATTGAGTGAATTTCCCTGAGGTGGAAAAGTTCTTTTCCCTACTCATTCTAAAAGCCTGCCCAGAATTTGAGGTTTAAAATCTGTTCTTCGTTGGCTCAAATTCTATAAACATCTAGAAAAATTATACTAGTCCTGCACTTATTTTGCTAGACGAGAGTCATCTAGGATTCTTGTAATGGGTTAGGCATTTCCAGAAAAATAACAAGTTTGAAAGCAGATTTCTAAATCTGGGCCCATTCAATTAAACACAATTCCGTAAATGAAAGTTGTGATGTCACATTACTAGAAATAGCTTTGACATTTGCAATCACAAGTCTGTCTTTCTTTTTTGGACATATTGCCTTTTTCTTCAGAACTGAAAGGGAGGTCAATTTTTGTTGAACTTCTCATTTTCAAAAGAAAAAAGCTGAAATACAATAAATACAGAACAGACCAAGGATTCACCTTGATCTCCACATTGTTAGTCTAATCTCCCCTTTATTACAATACTCAGCTCTTTGATATTTTAATCCCATCATCAAATTTTTCTGAGGCATCAAATTATTTATATAAAGTATATTTGGATATTCACTCTTTTAAAAATTCCAATTAACTGACTTGTGAAAGGATTTTTTCTTTTTTTTTTTTTTAACATAAGCACTGCAGACTAGGCTTAGCACAGTTTTATAAGTGACCCATAACTTCATCTGGGAAGAAGAATTCTTGTTGAAAGAAAGTAATCCATCACAGGTCTTGATTTTCTCATTCCCTTAATGCTACATAAACATTTTATCATTCTTCAATTGCTGTAATAATTCTGTCTCCGTTATTTCTCTCTCTAAAAATAGTAGTTGTCCTTCACCTACTCATTTCAATGACTTTTACATGTTGTTGGCTGCTCTGTATTTCAGAGATGTCTTCTAGTTCTGTCAGTTACATAGCCCCAGCCAGCAATGCCCTGTTGATTTACTCACTCAGATGCCTCCAGACCTGAGTAACTGGAGAACTGAGCATTTTCAGGATCTGCATGTCAGCTCTGTGGTAGAATGACTGATGTCAGCCCAAACTTTGCCAAACATCTCTCAGCACTACTAGTTATATCCCATTCCAAACTATTGGGCTTGTTCTTTCTTTCTCAAACACACCCCCTTCCACATATTTTCAGTATGGATTCAACAATACGACATTCATATTCTTTCCTTAAAGTGCCACTGCTACAATGGATTAAAAAAAAAAGTAACAGTAACGGTTGTCACTGGCAAATAAGGGAGGTTATAAAGAAGAGAGGAAGTAGTCTCAGGGTGGTTTAAACTAGTCTCGATATATTCTAAACTATTCTGTTCTTCTGGTCTGATTCTCTTAGGTCTGATTCTCTTAAACTGCCTGGACTTTAATGATTTCTAGTGAAAAATAACAAGCAAATGTTGCCTTCCATGCTGAGCTTATGGTTTTTAATTTGCTTTAGGCTTGGACCCTAGAATTCACTGGCAGGCACAGGCTTCTGTGAGTGCTGCTTTCTTGATTAAAAAAAAAAAGGTGGGGGGGGGCAACTGTGTTGTATAAAATAAGCCAAGACATGCTTTCCATAAGCTGCTAGCACAATTGAGGGAATGTAAGCCTCATCCAGGCAAGTAAACATGCATTTAATAGCACGGTAACATGGATCAGGAAAAAGTTATTCTAAAGCATAATGTCAAGAGAGAAAGAATACACTCGCCGTTTATTTAATGTTTTCCTTATGTTCACTCAGAACAGCACTTGACAAGCTTTTCCTGGCCCTTGCTTCTAGTACTTCTTTTCTAGGATGGCTCAAGAACTGCAGCTTCTCACTATTTGTTTATTTATTTACACTGCCATTCCTGTTCTCATCCAAGCTAACATATGTCTACACAACCCACAGTGAAAAGTAAATGTCTTTCTTCATGTTTATTTCCCTGAAGTTGTTCACCAAATTGCTTTTTTACATCCCTTTTGCAATCTCAGCCCATCCGGCTCAAGTGTCCTGGATTAGAAAGGCTGTCTCTGGAGTCCTTTTCAAAGGGAGCCTCCCACAGCCTTTAAATCCCCCACGTTTTATGGTGCAGATATTCAGGATCTGAGGTATTAAGTAAGAAGGAAAGCAAAGCTAAGAGACAGGAACAGAAAAAGAGAGTAGCTTCTTTTTTGGATAATCATTATTGGAATTGCCCTGTTGTCTCTCACTACTCTAGTTCATAGAGATAAATTCAATCATTTGTAAGGAGATCTTATGCAGTGTAATAAAAGAGGTGTGTGTGTGTGTGTGTGTGTGTGTGTGTGTGTGTGGTGTGTGCTACAGAGAAGACCACAAAAAAAAGGAAAATACTTCAAATAGAAACTCCTTAAAAATAAGCCAAATAATAGTCTTGATGGAATTGCTGTCTTCTCCAAAATACCAAACCCTTTAAAAAACAAAAACAAAAAAACAAACAAACAAAAGAACAGGGTTGCAAGGTAAGAGATGATATTTAATCAAATTAAGGAATTAGCAATGGAATGATCAGTCTGACAGATTCTAACTTCAAACATTTTGACAAGAATGCAGATTTGATGTTTTCTTCCTTTGGCTTCCAGTCCATCTCAGAGCCTCTTCCATTCTCCTTTCTGGAATGTGTAACAACTTCACCACAGAGGACTTCAGAGAAATAGATCAAACTGAAGTACTACAAGTTTGCAAAATGGGATGGAATGGGTATCAGTGGCCTGTTTGGTTTCTTCATTCTCCTCTCAGTTATCAACACATAAATTGAAGGCAAACCAGTAACAGGGATTACAAATGAAAGGAAAAGAAATACAATCTTGTCTCCCCCTTCAAGATTTTTGGTATTTTATTTAGCTATGGTGTCCAAGCTATGGTGTCTTTCAAAGTGCTGTGCAAAGTTTGTGCTGTGCAAAGGAGTAGTAATACCAAGTGCAGTCCCTTAGTGCAATAGAGAACAGGTTTATTATAAAATAATTGGGGGAGGGGGGACTTGGATTTTCAACGAAATATTTTGCAGCTTCTTAGAGCTCATCCAGTGTGCCACTGAAGAAAAGAGTTGGAAAGCTTACCACTGACCACCAATAATATTCAGATCCAGAGAGCCTGTCCTCAATTCTCCCAGCCCTGGGTGAACCAAGGAAGATTATTTCTCCACAGCCTCTGGGGCCCTACTTGTTCTGGGAACCCGAAGAAGGCATGAACCCCTCCCGTCCCGTCCCAAGACTGGTAAAGATCTTGACAAACATCATTCCCAATCTCCCAGATGAGAAACCAAATTGCACGAAATATCCTCAGAAGAAAACTTGAGAGGAGAGGAGAAAGGAGAGGAGAAAGAAGAGAGCAGAAAAAGAGAGAGAAAAGAAAAGTAGGGGAGAGGAAGAAAGGAAGGGTGACAGAGACGAAAGGGGGTAGAGCCAGGGGGGTAGCGGGAGAGTAGAGCCAAGGAGAGAAAGAAGAGAGGAGAGAGACAGAAAGAGGGAGAGAGGGGAAGGGAGGGAGGGACGAGGCACGGAGGAAGGGCAAACGAGCTTCTCGCAGCGAGCTGCTGAGCGAACTGCTGGAGTTGGGGGAGGAATCTTCCAGAGTGGCTTCAAAGACTGAGTTCGGGAGGGAGCCGCGGCACAGCTGCATTTCCCCAGCGTCCGTCCGGCCGCGCGCACCTCTGGGTCCTGGGGCACTCGGGGCAGGTAACCCGAGGCCGAGCTGACCGCTAACGGCCCCGGAGCTTTCCCGGGACCGACCTCCCGACGCCCAGCTGAAGCTACTTTTATTGAGAAAACAAAAAAACAAGAAAGAAAGGCCAGGAAAGCAACGGAGGAGGGGCTCAAGTACTGGGGCGGGGGGTGCAGGAAGCCCGCTGCCAGCGACCCTCCGCAGACCCCCACGGACCCGGCCTGTGTGCGCGCGGGCGCTGGAGGAGGAGACGCGGGGCACTCGGTGGCCGAGAGCCGGGTGCGCCCTGGCCCGGGCTGTCGAGACCCGCGGATCGGCGAGGTGGGGAGGGGGACGCGGGTGCCGACCCGGGGGTCTCCACCCTCCCAGCCCCCGCGCGCCCACCGCTGCCCCGGGAGCGGCCCTCCTCTCCGCACGCAGGGCGGCTGGGGTGCCACCGCCTCCTTGGCGGTGTCCAGGGATGCTCCGCTGCAGACCCGGGACCCCTTAGGCGCCTCTTCCCGTCCCTCTGCCAAATCGCGGCGCCTGTACTTTTCCAGCTCCCTCTTTCCCTCTTGAAATTGAAAGTTATTGAGGTCGCTCGGGGTTGTTGCTCCAGCCGTTTCCTTCCCCGCCCCCCGAGCTCCCCCGCCCCCCGCAGCCATCCACTCCTCTCCCCCTCCCTCGCCCCCTCCCTCGCTCCCTCCTCCCCTCTGGGGTGCTTTCCCAAGCCCTGCCCGACACTGAAGCGGCTCCTACTCGCGCGCGGCAGAAGCATCTCGGGGTCTCTCTCCGCCGCCCCTTGGCCATGGCCGCGGTGCCCACGGCGCCCGCTCCCCTGCGCTCCTGGGGCTCCAACCGCTGCCGCTGCAGCCGCCGTCACCTCTGAGCCCCCCGGGCAGCCGCCGCCGCCGCCGCCGCCTGCCCGCCCGCCCGGATCGCACCCGCCGCCGCGCACCATGCTACCTGCGGCCGCCCCGGCGAGGCCGCTGGCTGCTCCGAGAACCCTCGCTCGCGGCACTGACAGCCACCCTAGCGGAGCCGCCACCGTCCGGGGCTTGGAGCATTTGAAAGCACTATAGTTGTTTTTCCCAGTTCACCCGATCCGCTTCGTTTGCCATCCCTGCAAGCTTCTCGGATTTGCGTGGTGGAGTCCGCTGCTCGGGTGCTCTCGCGCCCGCCCGCTCGCTCTCTTTAAACGCCTAACACCTACGTATATTTCTAAAACGTTCAATACCATTAACAATCCAAAGGGGGGGGGGGGGACAAAAAAGGAGAAAAGGAAGGGAACTCTTACTGGGTTACTATGCACTTGCGACTGATTTCTTGGTTTTTTATCATTTTGAACTTTATGGAATACATCGGCAGCCAAAACGCCTCCCGGGGAAGGCGCCAGCGAAGAAGTAAGTGCAGCGGTCTTTACGCATTTGCTCCCTCCCGCCGCGTTCACCTGTCGGGTCGCTTTGCCTGTCCGGACCCGGGGCGGCTGGTCCTCCAGCCCTGCATCCACGACTCCCCCCCCACACCCCACCCCCAGGAGATCAGAACTCAGTGTTTGCGCTGGAGGCATCTTGCATGCCTTCCTCTGTGTGCCCTTCCGTCCTCCTCGCATCCTCCAGGGTGCAGGACTCGGGAGGATCGAGCGCTCGGTGACTCCCGCCCCCTGGCAACTTTAGGTTCGCTGAGAAGTTCGCTGCTTTGCCAGACTCGCTCTCTGGGTTCGTGCGTTCCTTCCGAAGTTCGGACGAGGGCCTCGAGCCCCAAACGTCCCAGACGCGCAGCCCGCGAGGTTGTTGCCCCCTGATGGCTGAGGAAACGACGGGGCAGGGGTCGGAGGGGCGGGGATGGGGGTGCTCAGCAGCGGTACCCGCTGGCTTCTGCGCGACACCTGGAGTGGGAAGACCTCCCTGGCTCTGCAGCTGCCTGGCACAGAGCTCGCGTCCCATCCCACGATCAAGCTTTCTGAGCGACCCCCTGCCCTTGGCCACGCACAAGCGGAGCAGCGAGGTCGCGTGTCCGCACGCATGCAGACCCGCTCCCAGCGCGTTCCCGGGGGGTCCAGGAGTACCGAAGCCTGCCACTGAGAACTGCAGGGGCCGGGTTTCCAGTTACAATCTTGCCTGTCACGCGTGAGCGCTTTTACGATCTCAGGCCCTTCCAAATGGGTCCCCTGGGGCCAACACATGGGTGGGGTCCCCCGACAGACCTACGCGCGCATCTTTCACCGGCTGACTTCTGTTCCTTGCACGGTGGGCTGGGGAAGTCGCTCAGACAGCGTTCTAGCTAGGATGGAAGGGGCACCCCAGGGTGCACCCTGACCAGATGAACGGACCCCTCTCAAGCATGGACCTCTTTCTGCAACGGGATAGCCGGGAGCGCTCGCCGGTGGGGCAGCGGCTGTGGCTGTCCCAGGAGTCCGGTTGCAAATAGAGACGGGGAGGGAAGGTGGGGGCAATTCTGGATCCGGCGTGTGGGGGTGGGCGCTGGCCGGGGTCGAGAGAGGAGAAATCATGGCGCTCGCGGGGGTTGAGGGACTGCTTTGACCCCCCCCCCCCCCCTCGAATTTAAGCGGCCGGGGAGCCCGCGACTCTCCGCCCGCTGAGCCCTCTCGGAGCGCCCGCCGCGAAGACCCTGCGGGCAGGCGCGGGCGCAGCCCGGAGGACACAGTACTGGGTTGTGTGAGATGGAGATTTAGCAACCGCTGGTCCAATGCTGTTTGTTTCTGCCCTGCCTCGGACTCGAGGGTGTCCTGAAAGCTGCCTTTGTGCCTTACTGCTCAGGCAGACAAGGTTTGATTCACCTGAAAATTGCCTTTTTGAAAATCCTAGTTGGGCCAGAGCCCCGGGAACTCCCGCGCGGCTACACCGCTGCTGGGATGGATGGAACTTAGCAGCGGGGCAGGAGGGCCTAAACTAGCGGTCAGAGCATCCGATTACTTCTCCTGGGCCTCGGAAAGGGTTGTCTTCTTGCTTATTTCTCCACCGACCCGTTTGCTCCAGCCTTGAGGTGGCCGCTCCTAGGAGCCGCCTCGGGCTCGGTGGGGTTGGCCCACCTGCGCCCCTAGCACTATCCCGCCAGGGAATCCAGGTGGTCGGTCGGCACCGGGATGCGAGATTCCAGCATCTCCTGCTGCTGCTGCTTAATGCGCTTCCAAACTCGCGCCCCACACCCACCTTCAATCGCTAGAGACTCCCGGGGAAGGGGGGGAGGGGGAGGGAGGCAGGAATCACTTAATCGCTGGCACGGGGTAGGGTCCTGACTGTCGGGGGTTAGAGGTTGTCTCGGTTGAAATGTTCAAGACCCTGTTGCTGAAGGAAGACACACGAGAAAGAAAACTCGCTGTCGGTTCGTTTCCACCTCCCTCAGCTAGAACAGCGGTCAGGGAAACTAACTGGAAGCTGCGGGGGGTTGGAGTGGGGAGTGGGGTGGCGGGGTGCACCTCTGGTTTTGGACTGGGGAGGAATCCTGGAGTCCAAAGGCAAACTGCTTTTTCGACCTGCCTCAGCTGTCTCAAAGCCAAGGCTAAAGCGCCCTCTGGTTGTTTGGTGCAGATGAGAGGGGGAGGGGGGCGGGGGAGGCAAGGGGAGATTGGGTTGAAATTCCAATTATTCAGCGGGGTGGGAGCTCCTGTACTTTGAGACTCTCAGGACTCTGCACTTGAGTCTGGATTTGCGACTGTGTTTGCTGGCGCAATCTTGGGAGAGGGGCGACCCCTTGCGTTCTCCAAGGGGACAGACGAAACGCTCTTGGCAGGTGCAGTTGGGGTGTTCCTTTTTTTCTTTTCATTTTTTTTTCTTTTTTGGTCAATGGGGTAGGGGCGGCTACTAAAAGACTTCTTAAATGTCTAAAACCTAAAAGTCAAATTGAATAGGCACATTCTTATTTCTTTGGAAATCTCTGAACAAAATAGAAAGAACAGGGATTAGTCAAAGGTGCTTTAAAAATAATAAAAAATAAGGTCAACGGTATTTTATTAAAAAGCCATCTTTCCTGTGTTTTGCCTTTAAGAGACAATGAAATGAATATTCAAGAGTATTTCTTTGGACCTATAGTTAAATCTCTTCCTTTTTTTCTTCAACTTGTACATTTTTTAATTAAAAATATGAGAGAAAATGAAGAATAGGAAGTAGCTACCAAATCGTCACTTAAATATTTTAGCAGAAATACCTCTTGGGAGTTATTTTTACTGCTAAATATTGTCAAGTATAAGGAGCCATGGTAAATCCTCAAAAAGCGCTGATAAAAACCAACATTCTCAGCCAAATAATTCTCCTGTTTCCCTAAAACAACTGTTACAGCACACGTTCCTACTTTGTTGCAAACTACAAGTCTTGTTCCTTTAATAAAAAGAATAGCATTTAAGTGAGAGTTTCAAATGAGAGTTTCGTGTTTTAAACATACTCGTGTACATACATGAGTTATAGGTGAATGAACATACAACAATTTTTTTGCCCGTGTCATGGATTCCTGTACTGCTCATAAAAATAACATAAAGTACAGTCCTTACAAAAAATATGCAGCAAAGAATTTGAAGTGAAGAAAGCAATAAGAAGTAAACTTTGACTTAAGTACAAGACCCTACATCAAGAACCCAAGTTCAGTTTTATGCTGATTTCCAGTGTAGTTTTCACAACGTACTACCCTCAATTTCTGAATTCCTGATTAGATTATCTGCTAATAGAATATTGGTCATAGTAATTATAACCACAATGCCATGCCATTTCTCTAATTTTCATTTGAATTACTAACTTGGCATTAACAGAGCCACCCTAGGTATAGAAGCAGGTATTAACTTTGCTAAGAAACAGAGGACTAAGTAAACCAACTATTGCAGACCCATTTCACAGAGAAATGATGAAGTATGCTAATATATCTTATGATACCCAACTCATCATTTATTTAAAAAATTTTAAGACCAAACTTTTCCGGTGAGTAGAATTTTTTGAACTGATACTTACATTATATATGAGACTACTGTCAAATAATTAAATAAGTAATAGTACTAGTGAGACATGCTAGACATAATATAATATTCTGATTAATTCAGAACACATTGTGGGATCACATTATGTCTGAAGACTATTGTTAGAAACATCAAATACTACTGTAGTATCCTTTTTATTTGAAGTCATTTATTGGGTTTGAATCATTTGGATTCTAGATTAATGTAAGTTTTGAAATCATATGCATCATTAAAACACACCCTTTCCATCAATCTACAAAACTTGCATATCTTTTACAAGTATCTAAAACAGATCAAGAGTAGAGAATTAATAACAATAAAATAAATAGGATTCACTGGAATTTATTGGTCATGACGCACTAACAATGTTCAAGATGTTGACCCATTTTCTTTTTTAAAAATTTTTAATTGAATCACAGAGAGGTATACAGTTAATTTGTTCATGATTGAGTTTCAGTCATACAATGTTCCAACACCCATCCCTTCACCAATGCACATTTCCAGTCACCAATCTAATGTCTCCAGTTTCCTTCCTTCCCCTATCCAACCCCACCTCAATTGCAGACACTTCTCTCTCTCTCTTTCTTTACCTCTCTCCCCCTCCCTCCCTCCTTCACTCCCCCCCTCCCTCCCTCTTTCCTCTCTCCCTCTCTTTTTCTCTCTCACTCCTCTTTTAGGCACTGTGGTTTGCAATGCTGTTACTGAAATGGTATCATGCATATCACTTTACCTCCTTTCAGCACTCAGGTGACCCATTCTTTCAATATTCTGATATTCTTTTGCTAGTCTTGGAAAATAAAAATTTAACTCTCAGATAGTAAAATCTTTCACTCTTATATAAATTTTGTGATATTAATTTTGAATAAATGAATGTTGTGGTATCTGTCACAATGTAGTAGGAAAAGACAAATCGTTTTTTATCTACTTTTATCCCCAACCTACCTTATAAAGTTATTTGGGGGCAAAGGCCACACATTTGACAACCCTTGTAGGACCTTGTGCAGGGTTGGGGATTAAACCAGGGTCAGGCACATGTAAGGCAAGTGCCTTGCCTGCTGTACTATCTCTGTGGCTCCATGAGAGAAGTGTTGTTTAATAGATGGAGACATGTGGAAATTTTGTGGGAAAAGTCTATTTGGAAGCATATCAATATGATGCTTGTGGAAGTCAAAGCCACAAATTCAAATACTGAGGCAGTATAAGCAATATCCATCTACATACAAGTAAAAACCATTTAATCTTGTGGATTCAAATTGAATTATCATTATACAATCAAAGCTCCTTCTTAAAATACTAGTGACACTGTTTATTCAGTTCTCTATTACTTCAATAAGATGATTTACTGAAAACATTAAGAATGATGATTTTAAAATATTTTCTTAAATATCTTTTAGTCACAAGTTATAAACTATTCCATATAAAATTAGTGAAAAATAAAAG